TTCCAGGAAGCAGCCTGGCTTTCTTGGTCCTGGCAGGGCCTTCCGGTGCACTCGCCCCTGGCGCTCTGGGGCCTGGGTGCAGCCCTGTGATCTCCTCCACCCTTACCGAATCACAAGAAACTTGAAGCCGAGAGTGGGGGAAACCGAGGCTGCCCCGCGGCCCCTTGGGCCAGATGTGTACGGGCCAGCCGCTACTCCTTTCTGTGTGACCTTGGGGAAGTCCCCCTGCCCCCACTCCTGGGTCTCCACGGCCCAGTAGAGCGAGAAGCCAGCAGAGCGAGAAGCCAGCGCTTGTTTGCGCCAGGACCTGCGACCTTGGAAAGGGTGATGAAAGCCTAATCCCAGGAGGGGGAGGACTGTGGTTCAGCCTGGAACAAAGGAGCCTGCTGTCTGCCGCCTGGTCCCCCTCCAGTGGACACGCCAGTCCCCCCACATCACTTCCCCTGGGACACGGGTCCCAAGGGATGACAGGAGTCATTCATTGCCCCTTTCGTGGCTGACAACTGACACTGAGGCCAACAGGCCTGGTACAGGCAGTGGAAGAGCAGAAAGGGTGGCCCACCAACCCCCTACTCAAGTCTGAGGGGTTGGGAGTCATGCCCCATCCTGTCAAGCTGAAGAGAGATCCCCAGTGGAGGGGGCACATGATGGTTCAAGGGGTTCCTTCCCAGAGGAGCAGGGTCTTGGTGGGTCTGTGGGTCCCCTGGCACATGGGGGTGGTCAGGCAAGGGGTTTCTGGGGCTTGGGAGGAAGGGTCAAGGGCTGGAGAATGGCCATGGCCACATGTAGAGAGAGCAAGACTCTCCAGGAGTGTGTTCTCACCATGTGTGACAAGCAAGGCAGGCAGGACAGAGTCCAGAGCAGGAGGAAGCTGATTTTCTGTTTGGCTTCTCTGGGCCAGCCCTTCCCCTCTTTGGGTCTCGGTGTCCTCATCTGTACCTGTAGCTGAGGGAGGAGCTGGGCTTGAGCAGGAAGGGACAGGCCCCCTCCGCTTCCTCCCCAAGGCGCAGACTTCCTGTTCAGCCACATCTAGGGAAACTGGAAGGCTGGGGGCTGGTCTTCCTTTCACCACCGCCCACCCCCAGGCTGGGTGACCTCACCAGCATTGCCAAGCCCGGTATTACCATCTGCGAAATGGGGCAAAACCCGCCAAGCCTCTCTCTCTCTCTCTCTCGGATAGGGCCAAGTCATTTGTAATGCCCCAAGTAGTGCCCAAAAGACAGCCTCCCCCCGCCCTTGGTCCCCTGCAACATAGCCAAGGGGCGGGCCCTGCCCAGTCCCACCACAGATCTGCACACACCCACACACACCACTCCCACATCCCCTGCACACAAGTAAGATTCCACAGCCACGGGGATGTTGGTGTGCACACAGACCCATCTACTATTGAACACACTGGCAGGACTCCCATGTAGCACATCTCAGGAGGCAGCCCTGTGCATGGGCCCATGCAGACCATGTGCGCATCCCCATGGACACAGACTTACTGCACCACAGAACACACACTAAAACTCACACTCAGACCCACAGAGAGGCAAGTGCAGAGTACGCCTGCACTCCTGTGTACACAAGTGCCCTGGGACACAAGCACATGCTTCTGTACACAGAGGTCTCACCAGGCCCAGCCCAGCCCAGCCCCAGAGCTATTCTGGGCCAGGCCTGGGGCCAACAAGGTCAGATATGGCCAGCTCCCAGCAGGCCCCAGCCACTGTGTCACCGGCCTAGGCAGCCCAGTTCCCCGCCCCACCCCACGCCACCTCCAGCCCTGGCTAGGTCCAAGATGTCCCGGATCCCAGCCTAGCTCTGCGACTGGGAGGATACCCACTCTCAACCCTCTGCTTCACCAGAGCTGAGCCCGGAGCCCTGGCATTTCTGGCTCCATGAAAGAACTGTTGCAGTTTCCCCTGGCCACTATCAGTTGACTCTGCCCATGGCTTCCAACCCAGAGACCCAGGAGACTGGTCTGGGTCCCTACCGGAAACCCACAGGAGCTAAAAATAGCACACAAAGGACAAACAGCATTCCGCAGGCCAGCATTCATGCCACCATGTATGGAGCGGGGACGCTGTCTTCCAGGGGAGCCCGGCTGGGGAATCTGAGGAGTCTGAGGGCCTAGAGCATTGCCACCCCAGACTTGATGGGCCCTACTGGTAGGATAGGGTGCAGGGGTATCTGGGGACCTCATAAGAAATAGAAATAGTACTGGACAGGGGGCAGAACCCCGGGTTAGGGGCCACAGACCGAGTTTGAGGCCTCAGTTCCTGCGTGACCTAAAGCAGGGCACAACCCCTCTCTGGCCTCAATTCCTCATAAGTACAAAGAGGAGAGGAAGGAGAGCCTTCGAAGATGGAAAAGACTTTAGCTTTCAGGGTGTTTCTCTCACTGTGGTATTTCACATTTTGGAGAATTGGGGAAAATGCAAATGTTTGACAATAGGGCATTGAACGAGGGCCGTTGGGTTTTACTACCCTGTAATATCACACTGCACAAAATCCACAATAACCACAACAGTCAGAACAACTAGCATTGCCTGAAGGCTTGTGATGTTCAGGTGCCATGATACTGTTGTTATGCCCATTTTACAGATGAGGGAATGAAGTTCAGAGAGGTTAAGTAACCCACTGAGGTCTCACAGCTGTCAAGATGATCATGCCCCAGGAGTCTTAGTTTTAAGCTTTAATAATTTTAGAAGTTATAAAGTATAAAGCTACAAATCTATAAGAAACGTAGTTTGAAAATTTCATTACTTAAATTTTCTTTATGCTACTTTAGTTTTGTGAACTTTGGATAATGACTTCAATTTTTTCAGTCTTCTGCCATCTCTACAGGGCATTAAAAAAAAGGAAATTTAAAAAAATAATAAATAAATAAACTTCCAAACTGTGTTTCTTATAAATCTGTAGCTTTATACTTCTGAGGTCATAAAAGCTTAAAACTGTGCTGTTTCAGGACACCCTGTTCTTTTAAGTCAGTTTGACTTCAAAGCCTGTGTGAGAGTATTTGACAGAGCCTTTGGGGGATCTAGGATTCTCGTGTTGGGTAAAAGCCCTGGGTAAAAAGGTATAGCACCCAGCGAGATCTCAACTATGTTCAAGAGCCTGCAAAGAAATGGAACCCATGCGGAACAATGACCATCTCAGGGCACAGTAGGGACACACATGATTGTATTCCTTTTCAGATTTCTTCATTGAGCTTGCCCTACTGCTTGGATGGAAAGACTAAACTTTGTACAGGAAACAATGTCTCCCCACCTCTCCTGGGCTGAGCCATCCTGCGCTCAGCACTCCCATATTCCTTAGTTTAATATAATCCTCCCAACAGCCTCTTAATGAGAGCCTTGTCCTTTCCATTCCACACATGAGGAATTCAAAGCAGAGAGGAGTAATGGCTTGCCCAAGGCCACTGTCAGGCCCACTAACCTTAGCCCACTCCAGCCAAGCCCCCTCTGACCCTGTGTCCCAAGGGTGACCTCCCTGGCTGGTCAGTGTGGCTTTCTCAAGCCTGGCCTATAACGGATGGCCCATAACAGTGGGAGCTTCAGCAAGGGACTTGAGCTTTAGTTGAATTCCTGTTTGCCTGGCTAGGGCTAGCCTGGGAAGCCTGGGGTGGCCCAGCCCACCCAGCCCCCAGACTTGGCCACCTACTGGCGAGGATCCCTTGGGCCAGCTGTCCTTTGCCAGTGGCTCTTCTGTTTTTCTGCCTGCCTTGTGTTCTCCCAGACCTGTCCCCTGTGAGTGTCCACAGCTGGCCTTCTGGTCGCTGCTGTTGCTCGCCTCGGTCCTTGCCGATCTGCTACATCTCCGGGCTCTGAATCTACAGGGTCCCTAGTTCTGAGGTTGGGCCCAATGCCCAAAGCACCTCAGCCTGCTCCACTGTCTATGGTGATGAAGAATGAAGGGGTCCAACAGCTGGGCTGCTTCTCCAGCACTCAGCAAGCAGGAGATAAATAACAATGGAAGGAAGGAGGGGGGGGAAGGAAGGAAGGAAGGAAGGAAGGAAGGAAGGAAGGAAAGGAGGGAGGGAGGAAGGAAGGACCAGAGAAGTCTCCCCACCCCAGACCTCCCTCCTCCTCCTCCAGAGCCTTCCTGGTCTCCACAGCTCCTCAGATCCTCCCTCCTTCCATCCCTGGGTTGTCAAGGTTCATCCCCGGGTGAGGACCAGAGTACATGTGCGCCAGGTTCAGTGTGAGGTCAGGATCATGGCTCGGACTGGAGTGACAACTGGGGCTCAGACTGGGGCAGAGGCTCAGGGTCAGCCAGAGTCAGAAAATGGTCCTCCAGGCTTTCCAGGTGGAGCCTTCCCTGTCCCATGGGGCAGCAGATGTTGGCTTCTTCAGGAACCTTTCATAGTACCCACAACTAGAGACTCTGACCATACCATCCCCTGGTCCCCATCCCCCACTCTAGCTCTGGTGTCCAGAGTGACCAGAGCCGTTTCTGGGCAGGAAGCCAGCCCAGAAAGCCCAGGACATCCCTGAGCGCCTGTCCCTATGGCAACCTGCTTGCCAACCCCCTCCCCCCCAACTACCGCCACAAGCCTGGGTCCAGTAGGGTTTTTCAAATTCAGAACGTCAGACTGGGAAGGGCCTCCTAGATCAGCAGATGCTAGCCCCTCCCCTTGCCCCAGATGGAGAAACTGAGGCCCGAGTGGGGCGGGGGTGCGGGTGGGGGGTGGGACCTGTTGTGCAAGGACCTGCCCCCAGCCCGTCTTCCCCCTCCCACCCACTCCCACCCCTCGGCCCGGCTGTCGGGTTGGGGGGAAGGGGCAGCGGGACTCTGATCCCCCGGCAAGGGGGCGGGCCCTCCACCCGCCGGGAGGTGGGGGCGGGCGGCACTGGAACCGGACACCGACGATGAATAAATGATGCCCACTCGCGGCCTGCGACCAGATCGCCACCTCGAGCGCCAGCTGGCGGGGCGGTCACCGGGCCACCCGCGCCCGGCCCCGCGCGGCAGGGTCCCCCCACCTGCGGCCGCGGGCGCGGAGCTGCGGGCGCGGAGATGACGGGGCCCCTCTGGGCGCTGGGCGGCGCCGCGCTGGGACTCTGCCTCGCCAGGGTCGCCGGGCAGCTGGTGGAGGTGAGGCGGGGCGGCGCGGAGGGGTCGGGGAGGTTGTGGCCGGCCGGCCGGAGGCTTAGGGGACGCCTTTCTGACTGCGAGTTGGCTTTTCCCCTTCCAACTGCCCCAGCAGACCTGGATTCCTGGGGTGACACGGCCCTGCCCCCAGGCTTCCAGGCTGTGGGGGAGACTCAGCCCCCAGCCTTAGGTTCCCTGGTCTGATGGGAGGGCACAGCCCCAGATTTCAGGATCATTAGTCTGGTGGGGGAGACTCACCCTGATCATAAGGATTCCCAGTCTGGGGATACAGCTTTGCTCAGCCCTTACCTTTGGTCTAATGGGGGCCAGGGAGGGGTGGGGGAGGTATAGTCCTTGGTTTCAGTGACCTCTAGTCTAATAGGGGAGATCTAGTCCCTGGTCTTTGGGTCTGCTGGAAGAAAAAGCTTCTGCTTCCAGAGATCCTTCAGGCTCCCCTGCCTGATGGGGGACACCTAGCCTTGGGAAGGAGGTGAGGGTTTGCCAAGCTGGAGGGTGGGGTCAGGAGACCCTTTATAGAGCAGCCATGTGTTGAGTTCAGCTCCTTGTGGGGCACTTGGCCCTGGAGGGGAGGTGCAGGCAGGGCAGGACCCAGGGCTCGGGGGATCTTACTTGGTCCTGGTGATATTGGAGAGCCAGCCAAGGTATCTGAGCAGGGGAAGAGGCGTGGTTGAGTCTTGGTGTGGAAGGAGGAGGGTAAATTGGAAGGGGGCATGTAGATGGGAAAGCTGGGGGAGCTGCTGGGATAGCCCAGCAAGAGGTAAGGAGGGTGGCTGGCGTGGTTGGCCAGGAGCTTGGCTGGGGACAGGAAGGGCTGGGAGGAGAAGAGTGGGGGCCATTGCAGCTTCCCTGTCCCCTCTGTCCCCCATTCCTGCTGAGCTGTGAAGGGGAGCCAAAGAAGCAGACCAGAACGAGAATTCTGGAGCCAGAGGCCAGAGGGAGAAGGCCCGAGAGGCAGGGCTAGGGAGGAGCAGGGTTCAGAGCCTGTGCAGGCAGGGGCAGAGAGGAGAGAGCAGAGAGGCGGAAGAGCAAGGGACAGCAAGGCACCCAGGAGAGCCCTCAGGGGCAGGTGCCAGGGGACAGGGATGGGAGAGGGAGGACAGAGTGTTATCCTGAGGACCTAAGAGGACACAGCCCTGAACCTGAGGGTCCGAGGGACAACAAGACGGAGCGCGGTACCCCGATACTAAGCCTGTCTGTGCTGCTGACCAGGGGGGTGTGATCAAAAGGCTGGGCTGGAGTCAGATGTCAGCTCCAGTGTCCCTGTAAGGGGAGCCAGGCTAGCTTGAGCCCCACAAAGTGTACATGAGCCCCTTATTGGCTGCCCCGAGGCCTCGGGTGCAGAAACTGAGCTGGCCTGGGCACAGGAGAAGGCTGAGGGTGGGGGTCATGTCAGTTCTGAGCCAAGGACTCTTCCCTTCAGCCCCCAGGAACACATCTTCTCCCTGCTCATCAAGGGAAATTGCATTTGGAGTCCATCTGCCTGCCATCTGCCTACAGCCTGAGCGAGGGCCTGGCTGCGCCCAGGGGATCCAGGGAAGCACTAAGAAGATGGGCAGGGCTGGAGTCCACAGCACCACCCACGACAGCCCCTACAGGCATCATTCTCCAGCTGATGGAGGCCGGGGCTCCCAAGCTTTAGAGTTTAGACCTCCAGCAGTGCCCACCCCAGAGATGCCCGACTCTTACCTGTTACCCTGTACCCAAGATCCCTATCAGGGTGGGATTATAAGCTCAATTCCCCCTGAAACAAGGCTAGAAAGAGAAGGTGTCAGAAGTGGGCTCTCAGCTGCCCGGGCTCAAAATCTGAGATCCCTCCTCTGGACCTCAGAGTCTTCCAGCCATACAGCCCAGCCGGACCAAAAACATTGAGCCTTAAGATCGGGAACCCCGCCACTGCCCAGACCCTGGCCCTGACTCTACAGACATATGTCTGACCACACAGGCACACTCCAACCACACGTGTGCTCTGTACCCACAAATATGTGCCCCAACTCCACACACATGTGCCCTGAACGCACAGAGGTGCCTGACCCCACACACATGTTCCTTGACCCCACACACATGTGTCTGACCCTGCAAATGGATCCAGGCCCCTGGGATGATGCTGAGGAGGGGTATCTTCTTGTCAACGTTACCACTCTGATTACATAGAGAGAGCTTCCCAGAGAGCCCTGGAACAACCCCACTCAATTTACAGACAGAGAAATTGAGGCCTAGAGGTAAGAAGCCGCCCACCCCAGTTTACCCTGGTGAAGATAAAAGAGCTGGGGATCATGTACCAATCCCAAGCACACAGATTACCTGGGACATGCTGAAGGGCAGTGTTCTTGAGATGAGGAAGCACCTGACTTGTGGTAGGTGCCCCGTCCATGCTCATGGACCAGGGGAAAGACTGGATGGATGGTCGAGGTGTGAGTTGCCTTTCCTTCCAAGAGAGCCAGAAGAGACTGCAGGTCTGTCCTTATTCAGTTAATCAGGAGACAGTGAATTCCACAGATGCCCCAGGGTCCTCTCCCTCTGAGCATTAACCACCCCCCCCCCATCCCTCAGCCAAACTTGGTGACAGAGATAGGGTCCTATCCCTCTCAGCCCCTCAGGCTAGGGACTGGTCCTGCCCAGACCCACTAGGGCAGGGCCTTGTTCCCTCAGTCCCCCAGGGTAGGGCCATGTCCCCTAGACTCCCAGGGCAGGGTGGCGTCCACTGGGAAGGTGGGAGGTGGCCGACTGTGCTCAGCTCAGGCTTGTTCCAGTCATGCTTACAACGTTTGGCCTCTAGGTGTCGCTGCTGCATTGCAGACTATTTATCCGGTCCTGTCCTGGGAGGACTCTGGCCTAGCCTCTGCTCAGAAGAGGTGACTCTGGCAGGATAGGCAACTGTTGAGGTCACCTGGTGGGGGTCCTGGCCAGGCAGCAGAGCCGCAGGCCCTGAGTCCAGCTCCACACCCCACCCCACACTGAGGATGCTTGGGAGCAAAGTCCCCCAAGGAGAGTACCAGCCTCCCCTTGTCTCTGGCCTTGGTCCTGAGACCCCATCAGCCTGTGGGACCCAGGACTGGAGCAGGAGGGGAGACTAGCAGGCTGCCCGAAGGGGACCTGAACCTGATTGGGACAAGCCATCCACCTTTGCCCCTTCAGGCCTTGGTGTCCCCGAGCATCCCCAGGCTCCACGGTTCTGCTCTGCTTTCTTCCCTTGCTCTAAACCTGGAACCTCCCAGGGTCCAGGGCGTTGGCTGTGACTATAAGACACTTGATTCTAGGAGATTCTGGAATGCTCGGGCTGAGTCCTTGCTGAAACCTGGGCCTCTCTCGGCCCAGCCCCAGCCTCTGGCCTCTGCCTGGCTTCACTTCCCTCTCTCCCGACCTGCAGCCCAGCACGGCCCCGCCCAAGCCCAAGCCGCCCCCGCTGACCAAGGAGACGGTGGTGTTCTGGGACATGCGCCTCTGGCACGTGGTCGGCATCTTCTCGCTCTTCGTGTTGTCCATCAGTGAGTAGCTGCTCCCTGCCCTCCCCCACCCAACGCAGCTGCAGGAGCACAGCACCCCCTGCCCTCCCCCCACCCCCGCCAGCACCACCCCCAGGGGCTCAGAGCAGCAATTCCGGGCAGTGCAAGCAGGCCAGTCGCCCGCAGGAGGCCCACTGTGGTTTCTGGCACCTCCTGATCTACACAAAGTCCCTGTGGAGGGCTGACAGGCTGGTGGTGACCTAAAGTATTCTGCCCAACTGGGACACAGCCACATGGCAATTACGATAATTACAGGGGACTCCACTGAACCAGGATGAGGACGTGTCATTTTTCCCTATCGCTGGCCTCCTGATGCTTTTCCTGCAGTTTGGCCCGCTTAAAGGGCCCACACCCAGAGGCCCCAGCAAGGCCATCCTTGGCCACAGCTCAGCCTAGAGGCTCCCCAGACGCCCGGCAGATGTGGCTCCCAGGCTGCAAACCGTGCCTTGTCAACTCCCGTTCCCCTGGAATGACTCACACCCCCCTCAATTAAAAGCAGGAGACCCCTTCCTCTCCTGGGACTGGGAGTTGCTGGATGCAAACTCACAACAGAAATAGGTTTGGCATGCTCCTTCAGCCCTTCCAGATCAGGGGTCTGCAGTTGGGGAGAGGGGGGCAGAGAAATGCCAATGGATGGGGGAGGCTGCCAGGGTACAATGTGGAGTCTGACGAAGTTTCCCACACACCAAAGGATACGGGAAGACGCGGGCGAGGAAGGGAAAGAAGACCCACTCTGCCCGCACAAGCTTCTTAGAGGAGGGTCCTCTTAGCCGCACATCAGTGAGAGGATGCGTGCAGTTTTGCCAGGTGGGCAGCTGGAAAAGGCAGATGGGACGGTGTAGGCAGAGGTGGGAGGAAATGGCCCCCGCACAAGGGCTCGGATAACCCCTACAGGATTTTCACTGCAGGCACCCCAGGTCGGGGCAGCGAAAATGGCATTTAAGTTCCAGCTGGAGCTGTCCCTGGATGAGGTCCCCTGGAGGGCAGCACCCCAACGGAAGGCCCACCCACATGTAAGGACTCCAAGGGAGACAAGGACATCTGATGGGCATGTGCTTCTCCTGACACCAGGGAGGCCCTCCTTGGGGGAAAATATCCCCACCCCACCATTACCATTTCTTCATGGCTGGGGTAGGAGCAGGATCTGAGCAAGAGGCTGCATTTCATTCCTGGCCAAGGCAAGAACTAGTCAGGCCTCTTGGCGGAGGCCCTGAGGATAGCTGGTTGTGGCTGTAGCCCCAGGCTAGGTGCCCAGGGAGGAGATCGTGGACCCGCCTGCCCCCCGACCACCACCACCCCGCACCCCAGCACCAAGAGGCAAGGTTCAGGGAGGCATCTGCCTGCAAGAGCAGTGTAGGGTGTGGGTCCAGGGAGCCGCTCTGGGGCACTCCAGGGAGCAGGAGTGAGGATGCCAAGGGGCCTCCAAACACACACTGGCCTCTCCAGGCTCTGCTCGGCCCCAGATGGTGGAGGTGCCTAGGGCCACACAAGAAGGTTGCAGTGTCAGACCCAAAGAGGCGCTTGGACATAAAGCACACAGACCAGCTCTTATTTTCTAGAAAAGAGTAAGGGAGAGTCCCAAAGGCCTCTGAGCAGCTGGTCACCACTCGTTACCTTCTGTGCAGGGCCCTAGGAGTAGGGATGACACAGTCTTTCCTACCTCCCAGTCAGCCTGGGCCTCGGTGGCGTTGCTGTCTGGGGCGTGTCACCCCAGAACCTTGTGCAGAGGGGCTGGGCTTGGATGGAGGCCCCTCTGGAGGTCCCTCCGGCCTGGGGACTCACATTCCAAGCCCCTGTCTGGGCCCTGGAACTCCATCCAACACACATTGTTTTTTTCCCTTCTTTTGACGAGAAGTGACCCGGCCAGGCTGGGTGGGGCAGGCCTGGAGCGAGAGACAGCGTCTGAGCCCTGCCCCAGGTGCCAATAGCTGAGCTCGCTTCAAAGCCCAGGCCCTGTGGGGCCTGAGACCAGCCTCTGTGGCGAGCCTGAGTAAGCATCGTGAGAGGACGTGCCCGGCGGGTGGCTGGAAGAGGTGGCCCAAGCCAGCAGGATCGGGGCCCGTTAGGCATACACACCGGGGCCTGGAGAAGACTAGAACCCAGCTCTTTGGATAAGAAAAGCTTGCTGTTTGCCCCTGGACAGCGCTGTACAGTCAGACCTACTGCTAGGGTCTCCTGCAGCCCCCCAGAGGTCCTGATTGCTGGCAGCTCCCCCATCCATCCATTCGGGAGTCCAGTTCTGTCCTCAGGAACAAAGGCTTTGAGACCATCTCACGCATTCATTCATTCATTCATTTTTTTTTTTTTTTTCATTCTGTGAACCTGGGTGAGACTTGGTGGGGCCACAAGATTTGGCTGAAGGGGTTGCACAAGTTGACCCCCAAGGGTGCTCCAGCCCCGGCTACATTGGTCTGATCCATCTTCCCTAAAATAGGCCTGGCTTGTCCTGCTTGGCCATCCTGTCCCCAGGAGTCTGCCAGGAAGTTATGTCTTGTCATCCGATTTATAATAGGAAGCAGCCCCGTCCCCTCCCCTGAGGCCGGGGCCAAGGTGGTCAGACTGTGGAGCCTTAGAAAAATAAACTCAGTCCAGCCGAGTCCTGGCAGCCCTGCCCTGTCCTGCCGATCACTAGACAGGCCAGCTCCATTCCCTGGCCCAGCTCGCGTGGGCACAGCTGCCTTCAGCAGAAAACTGCCCCTGGGATAACTGTCTGGGGTGAACGCCCCAGGGCAGGGTCTGTGCCCTCTGGTGGGCCCTCGCGGCCAGGAGAAGCCCAGGCTTGTCCTCAGCGAGGTTGAGGAGGACACGGCCACGTCCTCGGGTGTCGGAGGTCCTCCCAGGAGCCTGGGGAGGAAGCACTAGGAGCCGAGAGGCCTGGGTGGGAACACAGGACAGCCCCGAGGTGGTTACAGCTGGAGTCACCAGTGCAGGTCTCTGCCCTGCCCTCCAGGGGCCTCGATCTAATCAGAAAGCGAGACCAGCGGCAGGACATACGGGCCTGAGAACCCCTTGTTCAGAAATTGTTAAGAACAGCGATTGCAGCACATAAAGCCCAGCGCCAGGCCCTTCTGAAAGTGGGCCCCCATGTGCCTGCCCAAAGTCGGCCCCGCTCAGGAGAGAGATCTTGGAAAGAATCCCAGGGCCCACAGGGGTCTCATCCAAACGCAGAGCCTCCTGCCAGAGACTCCTGGGTGAGACACATGTAGGCAGGTGAGGGCAGGTCTGAAATGTGGGGATCATTCCTGGGGTGTCTGATCTCCAGCCTCGGCCAAGCCTGCTCTGTCCCCCCTACAGTCATCACTCTGTGCTGCGTCTTCAACTGCCGCGTGCCCCGGACCCGGAAGGAGATTGAAGCCCGCTACCTGCAGCGGAAGGCAGCCAAGATGTACACGGACAAACTGGAGACGGTCCCCCCGCTCAACGAGCTCACGGAAATCCCTGGAGGTGAGCAGGCTGGGGGGGGGGGCAGCCCCCTCCCCCCACCACCACCACCTGTCCCAGCTGAGCCAGCCACTTCCTCAGTCCTGCCGCCAGGAGTGGCCCTGCTCCTCCCCTCCCCTGGTGTTTAGGTTCTGGTCCCTAGAGACCAGAGCGCAGAAACGGGCCCGAGTGAGGCCCGTAACACAAGGAGCTCTTCTGCAGGTGGGAGAGGTTTGGAAAGGAAGAAGCAAAGGGCTGGGTGGGGGGGGCTCTGGTGTGGGCCCTAGGACCCCCGGCCTCGCTCCTACCACCCACCTCTCCTCCACCCCACAGAGGATAAGAAGAAGAAGAAGAAGAAGAAGGACAGTGTGGACACAGTGGCCATCAAGGTAGAGGAGGATGAGAAGAATGAGGCCAAGAAGAAGAAAGGGGAGAAATGAGGAGGGCTTCCTGGAGGAGGCAGCTGGGGCTGGCTAGCCCTGGGGCTCAAGTCCTGGCCAGGGTCCAGGCATCTTAGACTCCCAGCTCATCCACGGACCATAGAGGTTGCAGAACACCCTTTTCTTGGCTCCGAGGGGGGCTGCTGAGGCCCCATCCTGACAGCCCATCAGGGGCAGGGGCAGGACTGCACCTGGCGTCCCACCTCCCAGCCTGGACTCCGCTCCTTTCACCTCACCCACATGGCTGTTCAGCAAAGGTGGTCTTGGGCCACTGTCCCTCTGCAGATCTAGAGTGGAGTGGCCCCGCGCCCACCCAGACACACTTCTGTCCCTTCTGCCAGGAACAGCAGTGGCTCTACACGGCATCATGGGACGCGGCTTGCCTTTTGGAAGGAGATGGCCAAACTGAAGGGGCTGGGGTATGAGGCCACACCCAGGCTGGCCACGAGGAAGAAGAGGGTCACTAGGGGAGGCTGTGGCAGCATGAGGCTCTCAGACTTCTCTAGGTAGCAGCCCTGGCGGCCAGGGAGCTCCTCCAGGCCCAGCAGCGGTCCTGGCCAGGGAGGTGAATAGAGCGCCCGCCTGGAGGCAGGGGGACTCCGGCCCAGCGGATACCATGGGCCAGGCCACTGCCCTGGAGCTGAGGCTGCCAGACCGAGCGCGAGGCCTGGGGGTTTGGGGCTGGGAGCTGCAGAGCTGAGTCAAGGGTGCAGAAGGCTGAGGCCAGCAAGCCAAAGGGAGAAAGGAAGAAAGCCGGTAGCGAGGCCCCATCTCGGGGATCCAGGGAGCCCTGGAGAAGCCAAGGGGAGCATTGGGCTGCGCTGGAGGTCCTTTCCAGGTGGTGGGGGTCCGTCAGGGCCCCAGGGGTTCACAGCACAGGGCACTCGGGGGCTGAGGCAGCAAGCAACCTTCCGCCCGATGAGCAGAGCCGCACACAGCCTCCTCTTCTACCACCTCAACCTTCTATCACCTCAGAGAGTCACTGCGGACCGGAGGGGGAAGGCCCAAACACCACCGGAGACTGACGGCAGAGGCATTTCAGGAGGGTGGCAAACCCCCACCGAGGCGCGCACATCTGGGCCTGGAAACACCAGGGTTCCTGAGCTGGGGGAGCTGCCCCGTGGCCTGCCAGGATGTGTAAATAAAGCTGAGTGCCTTCCGCTCAGATGACCCCTCAGGATGCCCTGTCCCCGGAGCATATACATGGAGGGTGACGCCGCCATGACAGGGGCGCCGGCCAAGCAGAAGCTCCCTCCCCTGACTGTTCTCCCAGCCTGAACTGGGATGAGCTGGAGGGAGAGGTGGCAGCCAGCTGGGCAGCGAGACCCCGGGAGGAAGCCGCCCCCCCTGCCCCGCCCCTCCACTTTGTGGCCTGCAGTAGGTCTTCCATGGCCTGAGCCCCACGCTGGGGACACAAGAGGGGTCCAGTCTGGATCCTGCCCCAGAGCTGGATGACTATGATACAAGGAGAGGGATCCGGGCAGACACGGGTGCCGTGAGGGCGCAGAGAAACTGCAGAGGCCCTGCGGTGGGCTCAGAGTCAGAACCCTGACTCTGCCCTCACGGTCCGGCCTGCGGTTTCTCCCGCCCAAGGTTAAGGTTGCGGCCAAGGTCATACGACGCGTACAGGCCAGAGCCTTCCTGTGTGGCCCAGGCAACCGAAGCCCAGAGGGGCAGGGACATCCTGAGGTCCAACAGAGAAGCAGCTGATAAAGCCTGGGGGAAGTCCATGCCTGGGCTGCATCTGCCCTGCCCCCTGGCCTCTGACCTGGGGCCTCTACTGGTCTTTCAGGGACAGGCACGGCCGCCAACGGGTAACATCTGAGCCCAGTGGGCACCTGCCCCAGGCTCTAGGCAGGGCATGGGGCTGGAAGGTCAAAGTGCACTACAGGGCTTCAGGGCAGTGACAAGGTGTGCTCCAGCCACTGGTCAGGAGAGCCTGACTCCCACTAAAGAATCACAGCAAACACGCTCCCCTCCCTGGCCCAGACAGAGCCGCACCTTTACCCCAGCCTCACACTGCGTCCCAGCAGCCCAGCTTCAGCCTGGATAGTACATTCTAGACCCCAGTATCATCCCTACACACTCCCTCCACTTTCTGCGGGAGCCACCCCAAACCTATAGATGGAGGCAGACCCAGCGGCTCTGCACCTTTCAGGAGAGAACAGTCTGGAGTCCCCCCTCCCACCCCCATCTGGCTGGCTCACCTCCCACTCAAGCAGGCCCAGGAAGGAGGCAGCTTGGGGAAGAGAAGCGTTTAATTGAGCACCTCATCTCTGCCCTGCCCTGCCGGGTGAGGAGAGCTACACCTGCAGCATTCTGGGCACAGAGGGTGAGGATGGCCCCCCGGGGGGACAGCACGAGGCTGTCAGAGGGCAGCAAGGAGGCTGAGGGGCAGTGGTAGCACCAGGAGCAGGGCCCTGGATGGGGCTGGCAGGGCCTGCCCACTGATGCGTTCCCAGATCCAGCGCTGGTAGGAGGTGACCTGCAGGTAGATGGGCGGCGCCTCGCTCTTCCGGCAGCCTGGGCCCCAGCTCACCAGTCCCACCAGGTACCACGTGGTGTCCACAGAACAGGCCAAGGGCTCACCACTTATCTCCTGTGGGGAGGGGTGTGGAACAAAAAGGGTCAGGGGGGCCAGGGGTGGCCGGAGGGAGACGTGCCCTGGTTCACACCACTTCTCTCCCACAGCAGCCCCCGCAGCCCAGGGAGCCGCCAAGCTGAGAGGTGCCCTCGAGGTCCAGACGCAGGAGACCTCCCTCAGAGGGGTTCACCATCCCTCGCTCATGCCAGGCCCCACCCCCTTCTTCTTCCCACCAACCCCCCTTCTCTCTCCCCTCCGATCTTCCTCTCCCATCTCTCCTTCCGTCCTCCCCTCCCCTCTGAGCCCGGCTGCCCTGCGCCCCGGCACCTCTCCAGGCAGCCCTGGAGGTGAGGGAGCAAGGAGGAAGGTGCTCACGTAGCAGAAGTGCTCCCTGTCCAAGTCCTCCGCACAGACCATCCGGGAGTCCACCACCCGAACCAGAGAGGGGACTTTGGAGATCCTGTGGTATAACTTGTCACATTCCTTGCTGCTCAGGATGGTGACTCCCTTCTCCTGAATGGTCCGGAACTGGGGCCACACGCCTGCAGGGACAGGTCCCCCCCCACAGTTCAGGCTTGGCGCTCTCACTGCCGCCAGCCCAGGGGCTGTCCTCGCTGCTCCTGGCCCGCTCCTCCAGCCTCTGAGGAGCCCCTCCTAGAGATTTTGGAGCAGGCTGCCCTCAGCCTGGCCTCGCTGGGCCTGGTCTCACCCCTAACAGAGTCCAGCCCACGGGGTCTGTTCCTACCTCAGCAGCTTGGCCTCTGCCCTTCCATCTCGAAGGCTTGCCCAGCCCCTCTCAGGTCCAAATCTGTCCTTCGCTCAAGCCTTCCCCAAAGGCCTCTTCCACGCTAGCTAGCCCAGACTTCCCCTCTGTGGGCCCCAGGCACTAGGTCCTCCCCTCCTTCCTCCTCTCCCCTCCTCTCTCTCTCCAGTGTGACTCTGTCTCTAGCTGGAGCCCCCGGGGGACAGTCTTCCAAACATCCCCAGCCACTCCCCAGGCGGGCCATGACAGGAAAGACAAACAGCCACCCACACCCCCAGGCTAGAGCCGCTGCAGGCTGCTTTTAGGCAAGATGACTCCGTGAAGTCAAAGGGAAGAACACCTGTCTTGTGAAAAAGAGGGGCTCCCTGAATGGACCGGGCCTTCCTAAAACTCATAAGGAAATGCTCCCTGGATAGGCCTAGGGCGACACTCCTGCTCTTTGGGCCTTGCTCCATCCCTGAGGATGGTAAAGGGCTTGAGGTCCACTGGGGGCAGGGGGCTCCCAAACTCGGGGTACAGACTGCCCTTAGCCAACCATGGGGGTTTTTGGGGGGAACTTTTTACAGTCACACAACCCTGCTCCTCCCACTGCAAGATGCTCTGCTTCAAATCCTGGACGTCCTGGGATTTCGTGCACACAGCAAGATGTTACTCTGTGCCCCTCTGCCTTCAAGGAAGCCCTGTTTATAGGTCCTGGCCTGGGGCTGAGGGCTCAAGGGCAATCTGGGACCCTGCAGGCCTGAATGGCCACAATGCACTCACTGCCCAGACCCCCAAGGGGAAGGAGATGGGAGCCCGCCAGGAAGACGTCTCAGAAACAGCTGTCCACAGAGACCCCGGCCTGCACCCGGGTCCTCTCCCCCACACACCCTCCACCCGGTCTGGGGAGGCTCGGACTCACCGTCAAACCTGGGGAGTCCCCAGCCTGTTACAGTGCAGAGGGAGCCGTCCTTCACCTCGTAGTCCAAGCCGGGCAGGCAGATGGGCCAGACATACTTGTTGTACTTGAGTGGCCACACGAGCTTGAGGAGGGCAATGTCATGGGCCCGGCCCACCCAGGACCAGTACCGATGGGACCGGTACCGTTTGTTCAAGATAACCTGGTATGCCGGGACGTCAGAGGTAGTCGGAGATACCTGGTCAATCCTTGGGCTCCCCACCCGCACGGAATAGGTAAAGTTATGCCTAGGGGAACAACGAGGGGAGTCTGTCATCAGCTCCAGGCACCCCACCCCAGCCTCCACCCCACTACTGCACCCCAAGTCAATCCCGGGAGGCCACCCACCTACTTCAAGCCCCCCCTGGCCCCCACCCCGAGCCCCTCTCTCCCAGAAGATGTAAACAGGGACCTGCACACACCCTGTGTGGTCCCGCCTTTACAACGACCCTGTACTTCACGGAGAGCAAACCCGAGGCTCAGAGAAGCCCGGCCAACAGCTCAAGTCTGCACAGCTAGGAAATGGCAGAGCTGGGACACGGACCCCGTTTTCTCTGGTTCCAGACTCTGGACTCTGTCTGGCACCCCGTGCCAGGCCCTGGAAGTGGCAGAGGCCGGGCACAATCAATCAGCCACGGCCTCACCCTCCAGGCTCCTTTCCCAGCATGCCCCTCAGGTCTCTGGGTCGGCCCTTAGGCTTGGAGCGGGCTTTTCCACAGATGCTGCCCTCGGGCCCCTGCCCTGGCCCCAGCACATGGGCATGTCCTCTCTCTGGTCCCCACGCTGCCCGGACTCCCCTGTGAGCACCTGTCTTCCCATCTATCTTCCCCAGCACCCCAAGGGAAGTGATGTGTCTGTCCCCTCTCTACCCCTAGGGCCCAGGCCAGGGCCTGGCTTCAAAGGAGGGTCAAAGGCTATGGGCAGAAGGAAGGAAGGAAGGAACGAGTAAGTGAAGCAAAGGGTGTGGGATGGAAGAATTAGGACCTCCTTTCTGTGGCTAGGAGGAAGGAGGCCTGGCCAGTGGCTTCCAAGCCCCCATGGCCTATCTGTAGCATGACCGCTGAGGACTGGGGAGCCAGGGAAGGGAGAAAGCGCCCAGCCCTCCCTCCAGGGAGGAATCAGCAGGACTCAGCCTCCACCTGAGGAGAGCTGAAGCCAGGGTGGGGCTGGGACCACAGCGCCCTGCAGAGGGCACAGCTGTTGCTGAAGGACCAGCGGGCAGGATGACCAGGCCCCGTGGCTCCGGACACCTTTCCACCCACCCACCTAGGCCTCGACTCACTGGATCAGGCAGTGGGCCGCCGTCAGCACCCACCGGGAGGAAATGAGGGTGCCTGCGCAGACATGTGTGCCATTGGCCTGCACGCTGACCATCCATGGCCACCGCCGAGCCACGGCGTCTGGGTCCCTGAGGGTGGGGTCCTGCTCATGCGAGGAGCCGCAGGCTGAGGAGGAAGGTGAGAGCTTGATGCATGATGGGACCCTGCAGCCCCATCCCAAGGCGCCTTCTCTCCCCTCCCCTCAGCCCCACCTCCTGCCTCTCCAGCCGTGGCCCGCACTCATGCAGCGATTCTCTTTTCCCACTGGGATTTCTCTTTTTCCACATGAAGACGGAGGTCTGCAGCCTCCAAAGGGCCTCAGTGCTCCCCAGGTATCCCTCTCCCTGCTCCCCCAGCCCCGGGGCCCCAGAGCATTCCCAGCCACCAGCCTGGTACAGCAGTGGCCCCCCGAGCTCTGACCAGATCCTTCAGAAACTCATCCGTGTTGCCATCTGGCCCCCCGTACTTCGGCCAAGGCAGACCCCTCTCCCTCCTCTGGGAACCATCCTGTGATTCAGTGAGACTACCCAAGAGAAAAATGGGCCACGGGCGTGAACAGATACATCCCGAGGACGACACCCCAGCAGCGGGCCAACACTGAAGCTACTGAGCCCCAGGAGTCCTCGGGGGTGGGGGGCAGATGCTGCAGAGCCAGGCTCTGCTCCACACCACCTGCCAGGCAAAATTCAGTGGCCCTGACCCCAAGTATTGGGGAGGGTTCCCGGCCCAGACTGCTCACTCCCGGCTAGTGGGAGTGTCTGTGGGTGCAGCCACGTTGGAAAAGTTCTCAAACTGAAGATGCACATATCCGACCTCACAGCAGCCCACCCCCCAGTGTTTTCCAGGGGTGGGTAGGGGATTGGGCGATCAGCGTGCATGGGCCAGCACCAGCGTGTGTCAAGCCTAACATAGGAGAGGGGGTGTCTGCACGCACTAGGTCGTGTGTGAGAGGCTTTCGGGGGCCGCTTAATTGTGTGCCCTGAGTTCCAGGATAAGAAGTAATTCTGGAGGTCTTCGTTCAACATGAGAAGGTCGCATGGGGGTGCCCCCAAGACGCCCACGGGGAGGCTCCCTGAAGGCTGTGCTGGAGATCTCCTAAGTCGTTGGCTGGGAGCCTGGGTCAGTTCAGGGCGGCGGGAACATGCCGCCCACCGCAGGCTCCTCGGACTCTCCTGCCTTCCCACCTCACGGGGACGGGAGGCCTGGCCCACAGCAGACGCTCGGTAAACCCTTGTAAAAGGAACCTCTCTTCTCACTACCCCTGCCCCTTCCTCCTCCGACGGCCTCCGTAGGCAGGGGTTGCTCCCGCACCCTCCTCCCCCAGGGAGGCCATGGTACTCACTGAGAAAGCTGATGTCACCGTTAGAAACAGACACGGTCTGGGTCTGGAGGGTCGTGCGCTGCGACGGGTCAGTGGGGGCCTGGTGAGGGAGGCGAGGCTCGTCTGAGGGACAGGTAACACTGGGGGCACAGGGCACGCCCGGGTCGACGGAAGCAGGCGCAGACGGTGTCCCTGGCGCTTGGCTCGCCAGGCAGCCTGCGGAAGGACGCAGAGAGGGTCAGACGAGGCCCGGCGAGGGGGTCAGACCAGGTCCGGCGAGGGCGTGGGGGTAGGGGGGCGCGGCGGGACTCACCCGTCGGCCTCGGCGACACCAGCAGCAGCAGCAGCAGCAGCAGCACTGGAAGGCCAGCCGCCCCGGGGCCCGGGGGGCCCTGCCTGCGGGCCGGCGGCCTGCACCGGGGCTCCATTCCGGAGTAGCAGCGACAGCGCCGCGATGCTCCTCTCGCGACGGCGCCCCCCATCGGCCGCCCGCGCCGGCGTCCGCTGTGTGGGGAATGCGGGCGCCCCCCAGTGGCCCCCGGTGGCGCTCCCCGAGGCAGCCCGCCGGCGCCCCCACCGACCTGGCCTCCCTTCTGCCGGCACCACCACGCCTCTGCCCCCTTGGCACCTTGGTCTCGCTCACAGCGCGTGGCCAGGCACTTCCTGGGGACCCTCAGGCTAGCGCAGCCAGTTCCTGTACCGCCTCGCTCCTGCAGCCCCCTGCCTTGGGGCTGGGTGCGTGCTTTCATCCTTCCCGTGGTGAGATGGGACCCAACCCCTGGGGCTGGCCTCCAGGATTCCCAAGTGGCCCACCTCCCCCCCCGCAACCCCCAGACTGGTAACTACAGTGGGGTTTGCCCCAGGGCACTGAAATTGACCCAAGAAGATTGCATAATTGTAAGCAGCGACCCCGCCCCTCCCCCGCCCCCACCTCCATTCAGCAAATGCTCTTCTCTGACAGATCCATCTGCTTGGGAAAGACTGTGTTGGTGAGGTTCCTAGTCACAGATGAAGAGTGATGGTAGTAGCCCGCCGACCCTTCTGGGAGCAGAAGTCCACTTTAAGGTATGTTGGAATTGGGGGAATATTTTGATGGCTCAGTTGACATAGACAGGTAACACATTTAATAAGGAGTGTGGGAGATCCTACGAGCAGCTTTGGTTCAAAGCTGTTGGGAAATTCTAGGTGAACGTGAAATAAAGTCAGAACACTCTAACTTTTGCCAGGACCTGCTGTCTTGGGAGACACTCAGGCTGGCCATTCAGCGCTCCAATCTCTTCAAAGACAGCAAACCATACCCACTACCTTTGTGGCACCCAAAGGACAAGGGCTCTGAACCGGAGGCCCCCCCAGGTCTGAGCCGCCCCCAGGCTACCTCCACTCTGAAGGCAGGGCTCTGGCTCCCCTGGGCTAGCCTGGCCTTGCCCTCCTGAGTCTGTTGGAGGTTGCTGAGGCAGCTCAGAAGCTCAGGGGGTCATCACCTCCCACGATTCATGCAAGCAAGCACTCTGCCTTGGCCCCTTTTTCTCCCCCCATCATCATCCACGTCTGCCAGGGAAGGAAGAGGAACTGATCAGGTTCTGTAGACCCTTAGGGGGATCTGAAGGGTTGGGAGAGGTTCACGGGTTCTGGAACGAAGTCCATAAATGTAAGTCTGGTCATTGAGTTTCTTGGGAAGAGAACAAATTCTCTTAGGAAGGCCTGAGGGAGCTGCTGGTCAGAGACCCAAGGGAGGGCCATGGGGACCGGGGTTGCTGGGGTGCTGAGATGATTAAGCAGGGACTAGAGGTCACAGAGTCCCACCTGGTATTTGGCAGAAGAGGAAACTGCAGCCCAGAGCGGGAAATGTGGTAAGCAGTGGTACAGGGAAGCCCCTCAGGGAAGGCTCCCCTGAGAGGACAGACAGGCCTCCCGGAGCTGGGTAGGCTCTGAAGGGTTCTGGCCACGGTCAAGAAGAAAGGTGAATTCTGTGGTGCAAAACTCAAGAGCATCTTCATTGAACAACTTAAAAAACCAGTGGCTCTGGGGCCCTCCCCCAAGGGTGCTCTGTCCTGATGTCATGCGCTCCCTGGGTCTGCACGGCTCCTGAGGGCAGACAGGGAGAAAGCAGTGGCCGCTGGGAGTGCCTGCCCCAGAAACACCGCTCACAGGAGCCACAGGGAGCCCAAAGACACCAGCAGAATGTAGCCAGTGAGGGTGACTGGGCTCAGGAAGGCAGGGCCAGCCCTACTGATGAACCTCATGTCCGTGATCTGCCTCTTGATCCAGTGGGTGAAGTGGGAGGTGCTGGTGTAGATGCCTGGGAAGCGGTGCTGGTTGCAGCTCCGGCTCCAGCTCACCACCCCCATCTGAATCCAGGAGTTGTTCACCTGGCAGACGAGGGAGCTGCCAGAGTTATCCTGTGGAGGGGAGGAAGGGAGGCATGAGGGAGGCAGAGGGAGGGCCTCACTGCAGGCTCTGCAGAAATTCACACCTTCTTGAGCCAGATCCTTAGCAAGAGCTGCCTTAGGCTTATGCTGCCCCTGAAAATGAGGCATGGCTAGGAACCTGCTCCGTGACTTGGAAGTTCTGCCCTTGGGCCCCAGCTCAGGATCACACTGGCCTCTCTCTCTTCATTCTCCTGCTAACTCTCTGACCAGAACCCCCCGGTCCCCACCTCTGTCCTCCCTTAAATCCCAGTGGGCCTCCAAGGTGCCACCCTTGACCACCTTCCTTCCTACACTACTGCTTTCAGAGTGACTATTTGAAATGCAACCCAGCCCCCTTTTTTTGTGCAAAGCAGGTGCATGTATAAGAATAATGTTTATAACAGCACACATCAAAAAGTCATAGTTGTTATGCCTGCTGAAGGTAGGTTTAAGACTTTTTTTAAGCTTCCTCTATAAGGAAGCTGTAATTGTTGACAAGTTTTATAAATCAGAAAAACAGCTTTCTCTATATTTATATACATATCTATATATATTTAATGTAATTCAAACCAAGATTTAAAGAACATAATCTAATGAAGAGTGCATGAGACACTTAAGGAAAAAAATAATAAAACTATACCTAAGAATTAAATGAAGACTTACATCAAGGTAAAGAGATATTTTGGTTCTTAGGTGAGGCGACTGAAAACAACATAAAAATGCCAACGCTCAGCATTTGGCTTTCTGCACTATGGACGACCAGATACACTGCCTGACCTTGCTGTAGATAACTAAATACATGTGAGGTTAAAAACTTCTCATTTTAAATACACAGATGAGCCGGCAAGAAAATAAAGACTCCTCAGAGTCCAAAACCCCGGGAGGTCAGCAAAGCCCACATGGCTTTGGTCCCAAGGCTATTTGTCAAACCTGGCAAAACTGAGCTTCCATTTTCACAGTGTCCTTCATCGATGCGGGAGATAAAAGGCAAAACCCAGGGCCTGCACAAGGAAGAGAGCCTAAGACAAAACCTCCTGCAAAAAGTTACACCTCCAAAAAAGACCACGCCCTCTGAGGGAGGAGAAACTGGGAGCACCAGCCATCATGTGAACTTGCGATTCGAATTCACACTATGTGGGTGGTTCCAAAAACCCAAGCCAAGGATGCCATTCAGAGTGGTCCTGGGTTAGTCATGTACCCAGAGGATTCTCACAGAGAACACCCAAGAACATTTCCTCACTCTTTAAAACATCACCCCACACACAGGGAAGTTGAGATACCATGAGCAAATGCCAGCCAGCAGAAAAAAACAAGAGCATAATTAGAGCCTGCTCATCTCGGAACTCAGGGATTATCACACACGGAAGGTTCAGAGTTTCTGGTAATGCAGCACTATTTCATAGGCTTGGGAGGGAGTGTATGGATGTTGGTTATGTTATTCTTTATTCTCCATATATGTTTTATAAATATGCTTTTGTCTCTTCAATAGAGAGTAAAAACTATTTTAAAAGATTTAAAGGGTCAGTCCTCCTTACATTAATCTCTAAAGTTCAAGCAATTCCGAATAAAATGCCAGATGGATTTTTTTTTCAGGACTTTGACAGTCTGATTCTAAAATTGATATTGAAGGATAAGAGTCCGTGAATTCTATGACAGAATTCTATTCTTTCTCTTCTGAGAAAGAAGAGCAAGTGGGAGAGTCAGGCTGGGGGCAGATATGACCTACCAGAGAGTTAGATATATTTCAAAGCTGTAATTACAGAAACTGTGGCACTGGCATAAAAATAGGAAAATAGACCAGTCATGCATCAGAGAGCTAACCTGATGCCTGCACGTGAGGAGTTGTAGCACATTCTCCAGAAAGCTCTGGGAAAGGGGATCTGTTTTAATGAGGGGAAACCGATGAAGAAAAATGAAGTTGGATCTTACCTAACAACACTCCAGAGGAATTAAAACTGTCAATGTGAAAAGTTAAAACGATAAAGCTCATTAAAAACATGTAGGACTATGACTTTGACTTGAGATGAAGCATATGTCTTAAAATAAGACTCAAAGCCCACAAACTTAAAGAGGAGAGATGTGTTGGGCTTAATTACATCAAAGCTATGACTAGTCAGTGAAGGACACTGAATCTCATTGAAGATAGATGATGAATTAAGATAGGGCATTTACTCTGTCTAAAAGTAACTAGAAGTCAATGTTTAATATATGTAAGGACACTCTGAACATTAACAAGCAGAGAAAGAGAGTTGAGAGACTTCTGGGGAAGATGGAAGAGTAGGAGGATCCTGGGCTCACCTCGTCCCATGGAGACACCTAGATATCACCCACATCAGAGTAAATAAACCAGAAAATAACTCAAAGACTGGTGGAGCAGACTCACCACAGCTAAATGTAGAGAAGGAGCCACACTGAAGAGGGTAGGAAGGATAGAAACCCAGTCAGGGGCCAAACTGACCTGTAATACTGTCTGTGGGAGGGTGGGATGCCAGAGGTGCAGGGAGGAGAGAGGAGCAGACCCCCACCCCAGGCACAGGGGATCCCCTATGCAGAGACAAATGCCCATTTCATTTGGCTTTGAAAACCAGAGAGGCCTAACTTTGTGAGCCCTTACAATCAGTGGAGCTTAACACCTGGAACTTTAAAAAATCAGTGGCTCAGCTCTGAGAGAGCCAGAGGGTGATAGGAAATTGAGCCCCTGCTCTTAAAAAGACAGCATAACAAACAGCCCTTGAGATACAGCATAGAAGCAGCAGTTTAAAAAACACCTAGGGTATATGAGAAGGAGATTTATTTACTAATCTCAGAGTGTGTGCTAGAGGGGCAGGGATCTTTGGGAGACTTCTCCAGAAACAAAAGAGTCAGTGGGTGCATTTCCCACCCCTACCCTCCCAGCCTAGATACATGGACACCTGCAGGAACCAGCCCCTTGAGAACAGTCCCCACCTAGTTTGCTAACAGTGCATCTCACCCCCACATTCTCCTATGGATGTACCCCCTCCATCCCAGCTGGCCTCAGCAGGAGTTTTCCCAGGCAGCTGCAGGTCATCCTCCTGCAGTGGACCAGCACAGACCTTGCTGGCGCTGTGCATCCTGCACCACCTTCTCCTGAAGATGCACCTCCTCCAACACACCTTTGGGAGGAGATCATCCAAAGCAGTGCCACAAGCCTGGCAGGGTGCAAGCAGCCTCAACAGGGGCCAGCACCAATCCCAAGTGACTCTTGCCCTGGAGAGAGGGGAAGATAACCACACACACCAATCCAACTGCAGACATCTGGACTGACTGCAAGTCCCACCCACCAATGAAAGTTTTCAGGGGACAACACCTAAAAAGAGCAC